GGGGTGGAGCGGGCGTTATGCAAATCTGTGAGGAATGATTTTCGGCATCAATAGAAGAGCTGTAAGGGGCACAATTAAGACATATTCAATACATTGTTACCAGGCTTGTTTTACTCATTGCATCCGAAAATCTTTCGACCAAAGAAACCTTCAACAAGCCATATATGATACAACCCATATGTTCCTATGTATACGACTCCTTATAGAAATCCTTTTTGGCAGCGAGGTGTGGATTGAGAACTGGAACAAGCGCTTCCAGAAAGAGCTCGGCAATCTCCGAGGATTCATCGAAAGCCGACCGGATCTGTTCCAGGCACCTATCGGGGTCTCTATCAATTCCCTGTGTATCTAGCTAGCTAGCTACCTATCGCTCTATCTATCTGTCTGTCTGTCTGTCTGTCTGTCTATCTGTCTATCTGTCTATCTGTCTATCTCTCTATCTAACTAACTATCTATCTATCCATCTATTAATCTACAAAATCGATCTATCTACTTGTATAGAGTTTATACACGCGTAGAGAGGGTTCAGGGCTTCATTGGTTTAGGGTTTAGGATTTAGGGTCTCTAAATGGCTTGATACAGTGGTTCCTATATACGTACCGTCAAGGGTTCCAATGTACACTAACACACTTCTCAGCAAGTCACATACATCACCGTGCACTGCTACACCCGCAAGGTTCAAATTTTCAGACCAGCAGCACTCAAGGTGACTCGCGCCTAGTCGGTCCAGGGCAGGTGACAGGGCGGGAGACCGTCGTTCACACTTGTTGCAGCATGCTCCCCATCGTCGTTTCACGACCACCTAGAGCCTAGAGCCTAGAGCCAACCGGCTTAAGCTGCAAAGCCGAAGAGCCAAGCTTTGAACCCTAAACCCTAGACCCCCAAGATCCTTGAAACTGCTTTAGGTGAAGCCTGGGAACGGACGAAGCTACCGGGTGGAGGCTACGGAACCGGTGTCTGCCGTTGAGAAAACGGGCAGCGACTGAGCGAAGACTTGAGGGTTGAGGTTTCAGGGTTGTGGGGCGTAGGGGCTTAGGGCTTTAGGGTTTAAGGATCATGGTTTGGGGTTTTAAAGTATGGGGTTTAGGGTTCCAGGGTTTAGGGTTTAGGGTTTAGGGGCTACAATGAACGGGGTTTGGATAGACATTTGGCCTGGGGATTAGGGTTTCCCGTAGCTCCTGGGCGCTGAAGAATTACAGAGATCCAGAAGCCCCATCCTGTAATGTACGGAATCCGAGAGGCTCCATATGCATTGCCATGAAGGAATTGGGTCCCAAAAGACCATCCCTATGAAGGCTTTGGGTGGTAGCGTATGTAGAATATAATCTGGAGCCTCTAGGAACCTCTGACAAACCCTTAAGAAATGCACCCTTTAGCCGCAGATCCCGCCTGTTCTGGACTCTGTGATGGCAGTAGGAGAAAGCGGAGAACGCGAGAACTTCTACATGTAGTCCTGGCTGACCAAGGAAAGTCTCCTACACTTGTATAAGCACCCTAAAGCCAGAACCCTAAAAACCCTAAACCCGCCTAAACCCTAAATCCCTAAACCACTATTCATACCCTGAACCCTAAAGTCGAACCGCAAGTTCGTAGATGCCCATGGCTGATGCTCCTGTATTGTGATAGCCGTCTGGACCTTACTTCAAACTCCTAACGATCAATCAAGCCCTTCCAGCACTGAGCCCCAAACGTCTGCAGAAGCCTCACACTTTGGGTTTACGGTTTGGGATTCGGGCTTCGTGTCACCAGTTGCAGACATGTTGCGGATATTTTGCTGTCAGAACATCGCAGCACGGAGCTCCAGGCAAGAACCGGTGGCGTAGGTCCCGACGACACAATTGAGAGTGTCGACAATTCGGTCACCCGGATGCAGTTAGCCATCTCGGTTTATCAGGTTCAGGTCTTATGATAGCCGTTGTGGGATGTGCGACCTAACATGGTTGTGCCGTTCAACTGTATTTGCGGGATGAGAGGAGTGCCAGGGCTTGGAGGCTTATTGCTGGTTTAATCAAAGCTTACAGATGCATGTAAGAACTAAGAACCCAGACAGACAAGAGTCATCATGTGCAAGCCTGCATGTATGAGTAGTCGGTAAGTACCAACCTGTAACGAGCTCCTTGCAAACATGATGTATTATGCCCAGATCGAGAGGTGTCGAATCCGCAAACAGTTGGCTTGACCCCCCACTGCGTATATCCTAACGGAATGACCTGTTGGTGGCACCGGCAAGTATGCACTAGTCCCATTGCTTCTATTGCTGTTGCCGGTGCTTTTCGTTGTTATATACACATTTGCACGAACGGTCTGCAAGCAATGGCCCTGTGACTCGAAGAACTAGCCACTACGGCTTGAGGTTTTTAAGGTTTAGGGTTGAGGTTGAAGTCTCATGTATGATTACATTAAGTCCCGCCGTGGGTTGTGTCCTGCTCTTGCGAATCTGCGAAAACCTCAACTTGCATGCTTCCAGTATCTATCGTATTTCAACATGCATACAGTCACTCACAAGCCGCCAAGCCCATATATCTACCTAGCTTCATAAGCAGAATTCTCCATGTAAACTCGGGAACAGGCTTGGGGCTTGGAGGTCCACAGTTCTCGTCCACGGAAGTATGTGTGCGTTGTGCAACCTCCTCTACGGTTTTAGGGTTTAGGGTCTAGGGGTTTAGGGTTTAGGGTTCATGGTTTAGAGTTTAGGGGCTATAGGGTTTAGGGTTCTGCAGTACCTTCCATTCTGTGTAGATGTTCATGTCTCCGTCTCTCTCCAACTGTCTACGCCTGTCTCGAGGATCGGATACTCTGAAGCGCGACCCTGTGTTCCCAATTCCGTGCAAACGCAGCCAGAACTCTTTGCATGCACGTGCTTCACCCTTCAGGACCTAAAATAAGTGCCTGCTGCAGACAACCCAACCTGTCTTTGTGACTGATGGGGAAAGCCATTCCGTTGCACTGCAGGAAGGACTATAATAATATCACTTTTCCTGGACGAGAGATGAGGTGCAATGAGGCGATCTGCATGCTAAGAGGTATGCATATCAATACCTTCTTCTGCGCTTCGATGCGTTTGCCAACAGAGATCGTATATATACCTGTTGGTAATTCAGCCAACTTGTCCCTATCTGCAGATCAGGGGCTCAACGGCGTAGCCGTTTTTGCTTTTGGCTGGCATGTCATGGAATTTGCTTTTTGAAGCATGACATACCACGAGGTGCCAAGTGGGCTTCTCGACTTTCACTATCCCCTCTGTATAACACGGCACGCTGTTTCCGAACAGGGTATTGCCCGATGGACAGCAGGGATAGCTTGTACAGACACGTTTCACACCCTAAGGGTCCAAGTACCTGTGTAGCAAGAGAGTTGCCAGGAAGATCCCGTCTACTCACGGTAGGGCCCGGAACTTGAACCCATCGATCCCGAAACCCTAACATCTTAATGCCCCTAATTTAAGCCCTACACCCTAAACCCTAAACCGAGGTACTCGGGCCCTTAGGGTCCATTGCTAGCCGGGCACGTGGCACGATGCAGCGACTGACCTACTCCGAACAGTGGCTCAGACTCGAGAACCAGAGTTTTCTGCCCATCGCTTGCCGAAAAATGTGTTTGGCAGTCCCGAGAGGTTTAGGGTTTAGGGTTTTAGGGTTTAGGGTTTAAGGTTTAGGGGGGGTAGGAGTGGACAGACCGTAGAAGATCTGATATGCAGGCCTTGCACTACGATTGCCGCAAGTAGAAGGAGCTGCAGATATGTGTATCTTTTGACCTTGTTGTAACCTAGATCTAAAGGGTTTAGGGTTGAAGGGTTTAGGGGTTTAGGGTTTAGGGTTTAGGGTTTATGCTACACTGTATGAAGATGGCTGGAGCTGTGTCCCTATTCAAGAATGCTAGCTTGTCTTTTGGGAGTGGGTGTGGCCTCTGCTGAATTCTTGCAGGGGCCTCGGTGAAAAAGGAAGTGGGACACATGGCAAGACAGATGAAGAGACAGCGAGCAGAGTGAGAGAGAGAACATGGCAGCACCATCCGCTCTCCTACTGTGGGGTGTGGGCCTGGTCCTCCTTTCGCTGGCCCAAGGCGCATCACCAGTCCGCAAACCTCATCCATGCAACCCTAACCTTGGTATACCCTAAACCCTAAACCCTCAACAAACCCTACTAGGGCTTAGGGTTTAGGGCATAGGGACTTCCTGACAGAGCGAGAAACAGACAGACAGGACAGAGAACAGTCCTACGAAGGAGAGTCATGGACTTACTATAATGCCCAAGATACATTACCAATATTATTTTGAGGGTTCCTTATCATAAGTGTAGTATAAACCCTAAACCCTAAACCCTAGACCCTATGCCCTAGACCCTAAAGCCTAAGCGCCCTAAACCCTAAATGTACCCCAAAGCCCTAGTCTAATCATTAAGGCCCCTATTATCAGGCTTTCGGCGTCATCTCTTGGTTTGGCTTTGGTTGCGAGCAAACAAGTGAGACATCAAGAGAACGAGAGATGTGTGTGTGTATATAAAATGTGATTATAATACAAAAATAAATAAACAAATTAAATGAATATGTACATATATAGAGAGAGAGAGAGACAGAGAGAGACGGAGAGAGGGACCGAGACAAGGGGGTCATGGACTTAGTAACTGGGGTTGTAAGTAAGGCAACTATACGTATAAGTACGTAGAACCAACGAGGAACGAGCCTCTAACCCTAAACCCTCAACCCTAACCCTAAACCCTAAACTCTAAACCTAAAGCCCGTATAAGTCCTGAGTCTAAAGCCTGCACCAATCGCCAGGAAGCGACCGCCCCTGAACAGCGAAGAGCAGGCTCCGGTCTCGTTGAGGGTTTTTAAGGTTTAGGGGTTTAGGGTTTAGGATTTAGGGTGTAGGGTTTAGGGTTTAAGGTGTAGGGTTTAGGAGTTTAGGATTGAGTATGTCCGGCAAGGGAGAGATGACAGTACTCTCTTGCGTTCAGGTTCAGGGTATAGACATAGATGGATCTGGATTTAGGGGTTTGTATGGGACCATAACTGCTCCCGTACATTCTAGGGTTTGTATAGGACTCAGAAAGCCAGTAGTTTGGGCATATCTGACCTTATGAGCCATAAGGTTTGTAAAGGGTTTGGGTTCCAGGCTCTTGACAGAGCTGTTGAATCATTCCTGTTCATCTTTCAATTTGTTTCTGAGCATCCCATGTGGCACATTCAGCGTCACAGTAATTCATACCACCAGTCAACATGCCGTAATCAAGACGCCTTTGTTGCGAGGGCCCTGGTAGTATCACTGGGCCGCACCAAGAAGGTCGCAAGCGTAGGATTTGCTTTTTCGTGCTCTTTTGGGCTGGGAAGAGTTTCGAAACAAGGTCTTCGATCAGCTTTGTTTTCATCGTTGAAGCATAGGCAGCGGCCACAGCAAACAGGATATAATGCTTGTTGCAGAGCCGGGACCGACCATCTACGACGGTGCATCCAGTACTACTCTGAGCTGAAATCTCGCGGAGAAACTTGTTGCTGAGGAGCCCCGTTAGAGGTGCTTCGAATTAGTGGATGGGTTTCTTGCAAGAAGGATCCTACGACTTGGGATGTTATACAAGGGTCCCCTGTTTCTAGAAAAATCAATATCAACAAATGCGAGTGTGTGGTCCCCATCATGCTTTTCAGCGCGCATAAACTCTATGCTCTAAATTCGAAAGTGTAAGTGTAAGCCTCTGAACCACACTGCACTCCAAGCCTAAACCACAAACCCAGTGTTCTATACCAGCCTGCTAGTTTCCAGTCTCTTTGCCGCATGAGAAGTTAGAGGGTCGCAGGTAGACGGTTTGGCATTTATGGGTTTTGGAGCTCAATGTAGCTACAGGCCGTACAGGGTTGGATACTTGAGCTTTTGGACTGTTCAGGCTTCAACTCTGCCGCGAATCTACCCTGTCGTTTAGTTGTCAGTAGGGCTAGGATGCCACAATTAAGGTACTCATCTTGCATTAACCCTTTCTCACCCTCTAAACTCTAAACCCTAAACCCTAAACGCTTAAAGGAACCCCCAAACCGGGGCTCTTCGTGACGATTTCCGACCTGCAGCCCCAACAACTCGGCAGGGGGTTCCGGTGCCTTCTGCTCGGGCGAATCGGTCGTTGAGGGTTTGGGGGTTTAGGGTTTAGGGTTTAGGGCTTAGGGTTTAGGGTTTAGGGTTTAGGGTTGAGGGTTGGGGGGGGTTCCTTCAAGGTTCCCAATGAAGGGTACTGTAGGGTTGAGGGCTTATGAGTTTCGGGTTTGAGGTGTCTGGGTGTGGCTCGTTATTGGTGTTTCTTGCTTTTCTGAATCGTTGAACCTACAATAAATGGTTCGCAAAATGCACATGCATGTAGACTCTGGCATGTATGTGCGGGCGTGCTAGTGCACTGCTAGCTTGCTTTCGGGCCCAGCTTGCAAGCAAGCCCTAAACATATATATGTATGTATGTATATATATATATATGTTATGTATAAACCTCAAACCCTAAGCCTTAAACCTCAAACCCCACGAAGCCCTAAACCCACCTAAACCTTAAAGCCCCAAGCCCTACACCAAGAAGCAGACAAGTCAACACATGCTAATGAATAAAGGCTATGTGCGCGTATAGTGATGTGTATATATTGCACGTAGACGCGCATCGCTGTACACATACGTATGTATATATATATATATATTCACACTCACACACACACGGGCATGTATGTATGTATGTATGTATGTATGTATGTATGTATGTATGTATGTATGTATGTATGTGTGTATATACATACGCATACACACACGCATCCACATATACTCGCCATGTGTGTGAGTGTGTGTGTGTGTGTGTTGTGTGTGTGCACGTGTAATCAGTT